GGCTAGAAGTCTGAGATCAGGGTGTCAGCATAGTTGGTTTCTGGTGAGAGCTTGCTTCCTGACTTGCACATGGCCATTGTCTCACTATGTTGTCATAATGAGGAGAGAAAGAGTGAGCTCTCTAATATCTCTTCTTATAAGGGCACTAATCCCATTATGAGGATCCCACCCTCAGGGCCTTCTATACACTTAGTTACTTCCCAAATACCATCACACTGCGAGTTGGGGCTTCATATGAATTTTGGGGTAACTCACTTCAGTCTTTAGCAGAAGTTTTTGGAGAGTTTTAGGCAGAGGGGTGACATGATACAAATTAGTTTTAAGGAATCACTCTTAGCTAGTATGTTGAGAATAGATTGAAAAAAGGTAAAGGCAAAATGAGGGAGCTTAGTTAAGAGGCTACTGCAAAAACCCAGGTAAGAAATGATGGTAGTTTATACTAGAGAACTATCAGTGGAGGGTATAAAAAATGGTCAGGTTTTGGATAAAATTTCAAGTAGGGCCAATAAAACTGATGGTTTCTATGTGAGGTGTGAGAGAAAGTGAGAAGTTAAGAATGACTCTAAGGCTGATGAATTGTAAGAAATGAAATTGCCATTAATTGAGGTGGAAAAGACCTCAGATTTGGGGAAGATATAACCAGGAGTTTAGTTTTAGTCATGGTTAAGCTTGAGGTGCCTGTTAGCCATCCAAATGGAAATTTTGAATAGACAGTTATATATACAACCCAGATTCCTGGTTGGAAACATATGTTTGGGAGATGTCAGTACTTAAAGATCATTGTGAGGTGAAACCTAAGGGAGTGAGGGTATATTAAGGAAAGAAGTTCAAAGACAAGCACTTACTTGGGGGACTGCAAGATTAAGAGTTTGAGAAAATGGGGCAAAGTCAGCATAGGGGATTACGAAGTAAGGTAAGGGGAAAGCAAGAGTGTGTGGAATCTTGCAAGAAAGTATTTTATAAAGCAAAGAGTGACCAACATGAAAACTGAAAATAAGCCAAATGCCATCAACTGAGGAATGGATAAACAGAATGGGGCATATCTGCACAATGGAATACTGTTCAGCAATATAAAGTAACAAACTACTGATAAATGCCACAATATGGATGAAACGTAAAGAAACATTAAGCCAAATAAAAGAAGCCAAACTCACACACACACACGTGGCTGCACATTGTATGATTCCAGTAAAATAAAATTTTTAGAAAACGTAAAACTATAGAGACAGAAAATAGATCAGTTACTGGGGACATGGGCAGACATGCCTTTGTGAAATAATGGAAGTTCTAAGCCTGGATTGTGGTGATAGTGACACAACTGTATTAAATATATGAAAACTCACTGACCTGTACACTTAAACTAGGTGAATTCCCTGGGATATAAATTGGATCTCAATAAATCTGTTAAAAATATAAAGAAAAAGACAGAGAAAGAGGGCAGAGAGACAGAAAGAGACAGAGAGACTGCACTGGAGTTAAATTGGATAGTGCATGTACAGACAGAGCTTTTGAAGAGTTCGCTATGGAGAGGAGCAGGAAAATGAGCTAGTAGCTGAAAGAGGACAGGAGTCAGGAGACGTTTGCTTTGCTTTGTTTTGTCTTTAGATGAAGTAGGGGACAGTATGGTTGCACCCTGTTGGGAATGACGCAGAAGAAAGTAAACAATCTCTGGTAAAAATGTAGAAGAGAGGAAAGAGAATTACTGAAGCGATTCTTTAAGTAGATAAAAAAGGATGAACTACAGTGCACAAGTTGAGGGATTGGCCTTAGAAGCACAGCAATGCATCTATACTAAAAAAGAGAAGTTAGAGTGTGAATACACATGTTAATGAGTGTGTGACTTGGTGATGAAGGCTTGTGGAAGTTATCTTCTAATCGCTTTCCTTTTACAATGAAATGGTTATCAGCTGAAAATGAGGATGGGAGAAAAATTGAATGATGGGAGACATTGAAAGTTTGACAAAATTACAGTGAAAGGACTAGGTTTGGTTTTTTTTCCCCCTTAATTCCTGGTCATCATAAGCGCACTTGAAATTCATAGTTTGTATTTTAGATTTAGACTAGTCTGCATAACTCTCTATTTTTTCTACAGTCATATTAAGCTGAGTAGTTTCAGGCATGCAGTAGGCTGAAAAGTGGATTTACATCGGGATCAGGGCTTTGCTGACTGTCGAGTCAGTGTGATGAAGCAAAGAGAGATGAAGAAAGCAAGCCTGTATGCAAGAAAATGATAATGATTGAAGGAGAAAAGTAAGGATCAAAGGAGGGGAAGAAGGGTGAAAAGGAGGTAGGATCAATGATTTGTAGATTTCAATGAGGTTAAAGGATTCCTGGAATCAGGGTACTATAAGCAGTGTGCAGAAGATAGTTCATGCTACTCAGAGAATAGATGCTTGCAAATGAGGTAATTATGAGATTGTAGCTGTTGGTAATAACAGATAAGTGGCTGAGATTGGTTGTAAAACAAGACCATGGGAATGAAGAAAAGAAGGTAAAATCTTCAGGAAATGAAGAAGAATGACAGCAACAAGAAAGTGTAGAGTTTGATGACTTGAAATTTTAAAAATTGAGGGGTCTTTTTTTGTAAGGAGGAAGAAAGGAGAATGGGCAATGAGGAGAAGGGAGGATATATGTTCCAATCTCACACTGAATGGCACATACAATTTGGTAGAATAAACAGTCATAAATTTAAAGAGCTGCAGTGGGAACCATGTCTTCAGGGATTTCAATTGGAGCCAGAATGTAAATGCCATGTTCAACAAAAAAGCTAAAGATATGCTATAGGATTTGGCTGATCAGAGGATAATTACCCATCTGGTAAGTGTTAAACATTGGTCTAGATGCTGAGCTACTCCTGTTATTCTGTGTCATGCATGTGTCCCCCAAAACTTTGCTGTGCTAACACTGATGTTTGAGTAGGTCATTCGGCATAACACTTCAACATGAGTATCTGGTAGAATATAACCTCTCCTACAATTTTAAATTATATAATCAGTCTAATATTTCTTATGACATATACAATAGCAATCAGCTGGCTTTGCTCTTGCCGACTTTATTCTTGTTGATCTCAATCAGATATTGCATTTTTATTTATTTAATCAATTATTAATACATATTCTTATCTTATGCTTATCATGTATGCAATTCACTATACTATTTTTTCCCATTAGAAAGCTTCTGTATATAGTTTTCTCTGCCAATTGGATAATTTGTCTATGTGTAATCTTGCAGCTTTGTTTCTTATATTATCCTCTCTCATTTCATTTTTTAACACATGTTCCAACAGCCTTGCAATATAGATTGTACCTCAGAAAAATCTTACTTTTTCTCCACAGGGGTCACTGCATATTGTTAACCCCTGTAAGCCTGGTGATGAACAGCTTCATCCTCTGTAGAGCCTGTTGCTTTCTCATCCTCCTTCTTCTCCTCCTCCTTTCTCTCCTCCCCCTCCTCCATCTTCCCCTCTTTTTTTTTTTTATCTCTAACACTTATTTATCTAATACTTCTCTTCAAACAAATCTAATGACCCAACATTAGACATAACATGTATTAATTCTATAGGAGTCTCCTAAACCTACTAAAATCCTTTTTAAAAAGGTGAAACAGGACTTCCCTGGTGGCGCAGTGGTTGAGAGTCCGCCTGCCAATGCAGGGGACACGGGTTTGTGCCCCGGTCCGGGAAGATCCCACATGCCGCGGAGCGGCTGGGCCCGTGAACCATGGCCACTGAGCCTGCACGTCCGGAGCCTGTGCTCCGCAACGGGAGAGGCCACAACAGTGAGAGGCCCGCGTACTGCAAAAAAAAAAAAAAAAAAAGGTAAAACATATAGGTAAGACTAGATATGTTTTCTGAAACTGCTCACAAAAGGATTGGAGTGACTGAATTGACATATAAGAGTTAGGTTGGTACAACTCAGAAATTATTCCTCATAGTGATTCCTCTGAGTTTCAAAGCAGAATGTTTTCAAAAATATTTTCCTGTTGAAACATAGTTTACTTTTCTTTCAATTAAAAAGAAAGTTAGGAGGGTAAGATAAAGATGAGAAATTTTAAGAAAACTGATTGAGGTCTAATCATAATTTATGATAAGGATTATCTATGGTAGAACAAAACTGAGCCCAAACACTACACTAATAATACAACCTAGAAACAAATATGGCTTGCTTTCACGCTAAACAAAGAAGAAAAATTGGTTGAGCTACCAGGATCCTGAATTCTGTTTACAGTTGTTAACTCTAAAATCTTCATAATTTCTCAGGTAGAAATAGATGTTTGATTCTCTCTCTCTCTCTCTAATTGATGCTGTCCTTTCTTAAATTGTATTATAGGAAAACTATACTGAGGTACAAAGAGGCACTTATCTCAAATTATAGGACTCAAACATAATGGGTATATTTTTCTGTGAGTTAGCAAAAGGTAAGATAATTAACCTGAGCACTGTTTACTATTCTGTTACTCCAAACCCCAAGAAGTACTTACCTATTACCATGACTTTTACAAAAAAAAACTCAAGTAGCAAGAAAAGAACAAGTAAATTATAGTTTTGTATGAACAAAAAAATTTCTTAGCAGTTTTTGTTCCAGTGTGAAAAACTACACCATAAACAACCCAGTTTCCAGCTTATCTTCTGAAACAAGATGCACAGTGGTATTTAGTTAACTCAACTCTGACATTACAAATAATTTTGAATAGTTTTTACTCTTTCAGCTTATCACTTTCCTTGTACTCCAAGCAGTATATTCCTCACTGGTGGCAGGCAGAGACATAACCAGGACAGTCAACACTTAGAAAGACAATGAAACAATCTTATCACAGGAGCTAAGTCTCCTGCCCAATGGCATTTAGACTCTATGGTCTTTAATTACTCATCTGGTACTCTGATACATGTCACAAAAACCATGCACATTTCACCTGAATGTTCCCCAGTCAATACCCTGTCTAAAAGAATGAGCATATAGTAAAAGAGAGCAGCAGCAATATAGAATGGGATCCGACTGTACCTGGTGAATGAGGCGGAGGAGAGCACATCAGAACAACCCCCTGGCCTTCCCTCACAGAGACTGCACTTCTCGTCCGGCCACTAAAATTTCCCAGATCTGTCAACATAACACAGCATTTAGATGCAAGGCAAAAAGGAGCTTAAAGAATTACTATTTTGTAACTTGTACATACTTTTCTATCATTATTCAGTGAAGGTTTCTTTTTGTTTGTCAAGCAGTGATAGGAAGGCTTTGACAATAAATCTCTACCATCCAATTTTAAATACCACAATTTTCAGATTATATGTACACTCCTAATTTCTGTGTATAGTGCATACAAGTTGCCAGTGTAGGAATAAATTAAACAATACCTTTATAACTCATTAAGTAGTTATTTTACATCTTTATAATACTTTCTGCATATTAATTTTTCTACCACCAATTGAACCCACTAATACACAGTAAGAACAGAAATAGAAGTGGTTGGAGTGCCTGGCGTCCAACCTGCTGCTTCATTATCTGTCGTGCTAGGAACGGTGTGTAAAGCCAAGAATGAATTTGCCAAATTAGAAAGACTTGTGCACTCAAGCAAAACATAATGAAGATATAAGGTGTTCTTTTCTATAAATGTAAGTTTAAAAAATCATGTTACTTTTATTTTATGGAAGCCTGGAATAGTGTGTACAAATTAATTATACTCATCCATTTTGATTATTCTAGAAGTATTATAGTTATCAAAACACTCACTTGTATGTATGAAGGATTGGGGTTCAATTGTCTTCCCTTAAATTATGTTGCATTTGCACAATTTAAAATATTTTCCTAAAAATAAAGTGGCCTTAAAAAAAGAATGATAGGCATTATTTATATTTCTTTTATCATTTATTAATCTATTCATAACTCAATACATATGTACCTTTCCTTTTTTATTGGGCTAGGCTGGTCAAAGAAATGATTCTTAGTTTCTTGGAAATGGTAGGAGTTCAATATTTTTATAAATAAACATTGTCCCAGAATTCCCAGTTTGTAAAACCATATTCTCCTGGTGAGAAATGCTTCTTGAAAATGTTCTGCCTTTCCTGTCATTATTTACCAATCATAAAAGAGATTTTTTTCAAACTTTTCATCATTTCATGCTAAAATAGTATATTTCATAATAATACAATGTAGATCTTAAAATTTAATGTCTGTTAAACTGACGAATGATGAAAGTAAGCAGTTAAGAAAATATACTGAATGGATATGAAAGAGATAAATCATTAACTTTAATATTATAAGAGGGATCGTATAACTTATTTTTTTTGAGATATGGGTTACAATTTACTTATTTGCTGAATTTACAATCAAACCTTTTAAAATACATTCAAAGTCATTAAGGACTAATAAACAGTAAGGGCATAATGAATAAAAAGAGAGGAATTCATTATTGAAGAAAGTGTTTAGGAATTTACACACAATTCTGCATTTCACTGTAGTTAAGTGTCTAATAGTTAATATAAATAATAGATAAAGTGACAATACAAAAGAGAAAGAATAATTCTATTTTTACTTTTTTTGGTGGCTTGAAAAACATACACACTAACTTCTAATAAAAGTCAAGTTCATTCGTTTTCAAATTTATATGATTCATGGCTTTAAACTAATGTGCATTGACCTTTAGAGATAGAGGCTGCCTTTTTTTCCAACAAATGACCTCAGTCTGATAACAAAGCATGACAAGGTTTCCCATTTGACTTCCTTTGACTACTCTTAGAAACACAGCACAGTGAGGCAGTGGTTGCAGTGGGGCTGTTATATCTCTTTAGAGATTATATGGTTTTATTGTTCTCTTTTCATCTTCATTGAATTTATAAATTCTGAAAAGCAATTTGGATATCAATTTATTTTAACTGAGTTTCTTAAATGTTTTCTGAAAAGTATATATATAGCTTCCAATACATTTACTACAAGTTTATATTGTGCTTATTATATTTCAAATCAACCTATGGTAGCTAAAAAATATTTTAATAGCAAACAGTCCTAAATGAAGGCCTATTTCTGATAAATTGAAGTACAAGCATGGCCTAGAAATTAGACACAAAAAAAGAAAAGAAGATTATACAATAATTATGACCTGAATTGTGTTTTGAGATCACAATGACCCAAAAGATAACACTCAGCTCTAATTGCTTTATTTTGTATCATCAGTTAATACAGGTAAAATTAACATTTTCTCATGGAATTTTCTCTGTGTCATTATTTCCTAGGAGCTATAGCACCAGCAGTACAAAGGTAAATGGATTTTTTTCAACTGTGAATAGATTTTTTTTTTCATAAAGACATATAGAGAAATACTAAAAAGAAGCCTGCACTTTGAAGGAGAGTGTGTTTTCCTCATTTAAATCCTTCCTCTTAGGAAAAAGAAAAAGGGTAAAACACTATTATTTATAATGTAAAAGTGGTCCTCGTGTCAGGCAAGATTCTGGTTGATCTGAGACCAGACTGATGTGAAAAAATTCTTGGTTGGAGTGGGGATGGCAACTAGAGAGAATAGTCTGAGTAAAAATACAGCCAGTTATTTTGATCTCAGTGTGAACAGAAAGTAGTTGGTTTCTTTGGAGGTACTCATCATAGAACTTAGTTTGAGTGCTTATCACATTATTTTAGTAAGCATTCTATTATATCTAGGAGAGAAATGAAAATAAAGAGAACAAGAGATTTTATGGATGTGACTTTGATTATTTTTTGTCACCTACAGAAGGGAAAAAATACCTGTTCTTATGTTCTATTTTTGATCTTTAAGGGAAAAAAATGAGTAAAAATAAAAATCTTAATACAAGGACTCTAAAATTCAGTTTCAAAGTATAAACTGAAGTAAACTTCTTTCTGGACTTAGTATAAAACACATGGACAAACGGACAAGTAATAATCTGGAGGAGAAAGTTTATGATCAAGAATCACAGGGCCTCAGGCCTTGTCTTTTCTCTGACCCTTTTTCCAAGTTCAGAAACTCATGCAGAGTTTGAGAGTGGAGCTTTAACTAGAACTGTGGCTTACAGAATTATTACACCTATTCATCCTAGGTAAACCATACAAAGAAAAAGAGGTATACAATTAATGATGTGACTGAGAGACTCACATGACAGAATATAGAGTTAGAATGTGTGATTGGAAGCATATTGACCATACATAAGACAAATCATTTCCTTTATTCATTTAACAAATATTTTTTTTCGATGCAAACTATACACCAAATACTATGTTAGGTACTGATGATACAGAATAGCTGTAAAGGAAGGATGTATATAAATGAACTAATCATACTTACTTGGGCCAACTGTCCATAGACCCAGCTCAGATGAGTCTATGCCACCAAATAGATGCATGAGCCCAAACCATCACTGCTTCAGCTTGTCACAGCTATACTTATGGGTAACTAGTACATACCATGTGCATGTACCATATAGCACTACATGCCATTCCCCTAAATGTATGTTGCAAACATATGCACACCAACACATACACATACATACACTGCACATACACTTTGGGTTCCTTCCTTCCTTCCTTCCTTCCTCAAACCTTCTTGCCTACCTGCCTGCTTTTCTGTTTTCCATCTTTTCTTTTCTTTCCTTCATTATTCCACAAAGGGTTTGGGGTAGCTTAGATATATATGTATATAATACAAAATATAAAATTGGTAGTTGACAAATTCCAGGTGAAGGCAAAATAGGTATGGCAAAAATCCTGTAGCATAACATGAGGATTTAAGAAAATATGTCATAGACTTCTTTTGTAAATTATTGGAAGTTGGCCATAAAATTTGACTCATAAACTTAAGAGGGTCAAAACAAACATGCATATGTCCCCAGTCTTACAATTCATGATTATTTTAAGATCACAACTTTCTAGTAACTCAGGAGAAGTACAGTGTCGCTGGATATTAAGGTTCAAGAGGGATTTCTTCTGCAAGACTTCATAAAGATCACAGTGGGTGGTATAGTAGGCTGAGCAACTTTTCAAGTCAATTAGAAAGGTTCTTCACCCACTGAAACACTTTAAGTAGGTGTAGTGTGAGCTACACACACACACACACACACACACACACACACACACACACGTAAAAATATTTCAGAAATTATTCCCTAGAATGGTGAATTATTTTAAAGTGTTGGAGAGTGACAGGGGTTTTGGATACTAATTTTACGATTATGTATGCTAAATATGAGAGATTGGTTAATTATTGGGGAGAAGTGAGGGAAAATGGTCAAGGCAAGAAGATAAATCTTATATAATTAGGAATGAAGTGCTGAGGTTCACCTTTCTTCTGGTTTTTAATTTCCTAGTCTTAGATCTGTTCCAAATAAATGGCAATCCTTGGCTTATGGGAGTCATGCATTTGGAAGAAGGAATGGAAATGGGGTGACCATTTTGAATTGCACTCAGTTATACATTCACCCTATAGGTGGGGCCGTAAGTTTTAGACTGTCAATGCTCCAGGCATGCTCAATTGATTCTCTAATGTTAAAAGTGCTATGACTATAGAGATAATTCATTATGAATTCAAAAATTCTTAAAGTTGAGTTTGAATTTTTACAAAAAGTGAAACCGTTGAAAAAGGCAAAACACTTTAGACCAGGTGTCAGACACAAGCTTTATTAAATATTACTAACTTTGGGGTATCAGATTCATATGTAAGATTGTTAAGATTGAGGAACTAAGATGAGTGATATATCTGAGGGGACTCATGGATTTAACTTCTACGATTTCTACAAAAATGACTGATAGATTGCATATTGAAGTCTTTCGTCAGTTTTGTTCTTGTTATTATCATCAAGATAATTCAGATTATTGTCAGATTTTTTGTGTATCCAATGTAAATATCCTGTAATAAAAATTGGTCAGACCTCATTCAGAAACTATCTTTGACATTGTAAAATGTTAAAAATATAAGGGCAAATAAAAGAATGGATGGATAATAATTACACTAGCTACTAGCATACTACTATATGCCAAGTTTCCTGGAAATGAAATAGTAATTTCTCTGTTTTAAAGATTCCTAAATGTATGTGAAAAGCAAATAAACACTTGACTTTGGTCATACAGTTAATAAGTAGTGAGTTGGCAAATCAAACTCA